GCAGAGGTAAAACAGCGTGTGTAACAAAATCCCTGTGGCTGGAAGAAGTGTGGCACATTCAAGGAACTGAGAGCGAGCAGGAGGTTTGGATTACAGCAGCGAGGGGATTTGGGGGCAACCTGAAGTAGAGAGGTGGGCGGGGGCTAGACTCTGCACCATCTTGTAGATCAGGAAGAGAACTTTATTCTTAGGAATAAGATCCGCTTGAAAGTATTGAATGTTTTTAAGCAGGCAGGCAGTTACACAATCAGGTCTGTTTTTCTGAACGACCCCTCGGCTGCAGAGCGGAGGCTGGGCTGAGGAGGGTGTGCTTACTGGAGTGGGCACCTTGCAGCAGCTCCCACTGTACGGTGAACATGGAGGTCGCTGGACCAAGGTGGTGGCTGGCGAGGTTACCTGCCAAATGATTTGAGACATACTTAGAGGGTGAGATCGACGGGTCTTGCAGGTAGACTGGCCATGGAGGGGGACATGGAGGCAGGTGTCAAACATGCTGTTTTTATCTGCAGTAAAATCTCAAAAGTTAACCATTTAAAGAGTTTGTTATTGTATTAGTTCTCTAATGTTGTATTGTTCTTGCTGTAACAAATTATCATAGAACAAACAACATACAACCACAGAAATGTATTCTGTCATAGTTCTGGAGCCTAAAAGTCCAAAATCAAGGTATTAGCAGGGCTGTGCTTCCTCTAATAAAGACTCTAGTGAAAAATCCTCCCTTGCCTCTTGTGGCTTCTGGTGGCAGCAGGCATTCCGTGGCTGTGGCTGCCTTACTGCAAGCCTCAGTCTTCCTTCGCATGGCCGTCTTCTCTTTTCCTCTTTTTCATAAGGACACTTGAGATCAGCTTGGGGGCCCATTCAGATAATCCTGGATGATCTCGTGTTGAGATCCTTAATTACATCCACAAAGACCTCTTTTTCCAAATAAGGTCAAATTTGCAGGTTTCTATGGTTAGGATGTGGACATACTTTATGGGGGGATGGTCAACTCACTAGAGCTATCATGTGGATAATCCTTTATAGACCCCATAGTAGGGGCTACCAGGACTCACCTGTGTGAACACTTTATATTTCCAAACATTTGAGAAGCACTGGAGCTTCTGCCTTCAGTTCCCAAATAACCTCAAGTGATTGCCGAGTCCAAAGGCTACGTTGGTCCTAGTGGAGGCTTGGTGCTGCCCAATATCCTGTACATGCAACCCATCATTCATCATGTGATACTGAAGTCTTCTGATTTTTGTCTCACTTGTTTCTAAGACCCTGTAGGGAAGCGATTATTTCTTGTGCGCCTCTGCGCCCTCAGGGCCAGCACAGTGCCTGGCAAAGCAGGAACACACTTCACATGATGTTGTAAGCGGTCCCAGATATACTTTTCTTTTGTTTCTCTCAAATTATAATAACTATTTAATTCATTAGAAATTGCTGATAGCTGCTGCAAATTGTTTTTGAATTAAAAAGAATTGCCACTTATTGTATAGTTTTTTTTTTTTTTTTTTTTTTTTTGAGACAGAGCCTCGAGCTGTCCCCCTGGGCAGAGTGCCATGGCATTACAGCTCACAGCAACCTCCAACTCCTGGGCTCAAGCGAGTCTCCTGCCTCCGCCTCCCAAGTAGCTGGGACCACAGGCGCCCGCCACAACGCCTGGCTATTTTTTGGTTGCAGCCGTCATTGCTGTTTGGCGGGTCCGAGCTGGGGATTCGAACCCGCCACCCTAGGTGTACGCGGCTGGCGCCTTAGCCGGTTGAGCTATAGGCGCTGAGCCTATTGTATAGTTTTGATGAGGCGGTTGATGATATATAAAGATAGATAAATTCTAGTTCTTGTATTTTTATAGCTCAGTCTGTAGGAGAGACATGTTGGAACAAAAGAATTATAAATCAGTTGTTATTACTCTAATAAAGAAATAAAAGAAAGACCAGGGGGCATCGAACAGAGAGCAACTAGTTGTGTTGAGGGTTAGAGATGGATTGAAAAAGTTGACATTCAAAAGACGAGTAGAAATTTTCCAGGAGGAGGATATTCCAAAGGGAGATGAATCCAATAGGAATCCTATTGAAATCAGAATGGCAATACAAGAGTAAAAATTCAGATGTGTTTCAAGAAAAAAAGACATTTTTAGCAGATGCAGAAGGCAGCTAGGAAGTGGTTAAATACATTCTGTGAGTAAAACTTGGCACTAAATGTGCATGTGAGGGAAACGGTGTCCTCAGAACCACCACGAGGCTGTCCCTTGGCAGACCCTGGGTCTCTCTTTTAAAAATGGGGTGTCTGCACCCTTCCGATGTTAATTGGAAATGTGGTCTGGGTTTTCTCCATGACAGGCTGTAAGACTATATTTCAGTCAGGGCTTTGCTCTTTTGAATTAATATATAATGTCCTTGAAAGCCCTCAATTTTTTTCTTTCCTATTTTTTCCTAAAGGAAAAGAATCTTCTTTAAAAAGCTACATGGCAGTGCTGAATTTAGCTCATTTTAACAAAGGTCACAGTATTTTTGAGTAGTAAACACTATTACCAGATCTTTCCAGTATCTGGATGTTGGGCAGGGGTGCCTCTGTCTCTGGAATAAATGACGAGAGCCCAGGGTTGTGTGACAGCTGTGGCCCTGGGAAGCCCGTGGTATCGGGGAAGAGGCAGATGCTTCCTGTTTCTCCTCAACCACAGCCAAGAAGAGAATCAAGGCAAAAAACTCCCCTTTGCTTGAATCAACCAGACTATTGAGCAAGTTTAGAACTTGTCTGGTCTACTGGTTTCAATTTGGCCTTAGAAACCAAATGGATAACAGGAGATTTATTGGAGAAGCTGCTGCCAAGAATTGAGGATTACTTTCAGTCGCAACTCAACAGCACCCAGACTCTCTCCCTAGGCTATTTCCTCCTGTGATGATAATATCAGCAATTAACATACTTGTGTTTGTAAAGCTTTATTCTTCAGGGAGTACTCAACCCTTGGATGAGGTCAGCTAATTAATTTCTGCAATGTTTCAGATTAGACTGTTGCATGTTTTATGACCTTGAAGATTGCAGTGATTATTAAGTCACAAAATATTAAATCACTTTTGCAAAGACTCCCAGTAAGGAGGTGATAGGAAATAGGCATAGAACTAAGGTCTTGGGTTTCCTGAGGAGTGTTTCCATCACTATCCCAGAGCAGGACCCCTAACAGGATCACCTTAACAGCAATCACTTGTAAAGCAACGAGAAAAAATAAAAAAAGAGATGCCACATCATGAACAGAGAAATTACATGCTTCCACATTCTACAGAAACTCTAATTATGCTAGTGTGAAGTCATCGAAATTATCCTTATCTCTGGAATGTATAACTTTTTAGCAATTATGCAATCAGAGGTTCGGTGGGCACCTTTCTTCTGGAATGTGGCAGAGAGATCACAGGACCTCAATCCATGAAGACTGAGGTTTGAATGTTATTCCTATCACTTATTAGCTATGTTAACCTGGGCAGGACACAGTACTTGGCACCTGGAATACAATTTTCTCACTTGTGAAATGAATATATTAATAGTTGCCGGGCCGTGTATGCTTCTATCCACCTGAAGAGCCGGCATCCTAGTTCAAGACTTGAACTGGTGCTACAGACTTCTAGCTGGTTTCCTTTATTCCATTCTTACTCCTCTGCTGAAATCTTTTCCACATAGCTGTTGGAGTGGTCTGTTAAAATCCTAATTCAGATTGTGTATCCTTCTGCCTCAAGCCCTCTACTGGCACCCATTCATATTTAGAATAAAACACAGTCCCTTACCACAACCTAGAAGACCATGGGCAATCCGGCCCTTGCTCACCTCTTTGGCCTCGTTTCCTGACAGTGCCCTTATTCACATTGTGCTCCTCCCTTCCCCTTGACCACACAAGCTAGCTGTACCTCTCGGCCTCTGCCTGTGCTGTTCTTTCACCCGATAGCCTCTTCCCTCATTTCTGAATGGCTGCTCCATTCACTCTTTCAAGTCTCAGGTCACCTATTGTCTGTCCAAAAAGGTTGTCCCTGATCATTGAGTAGAAATAGTATCCCTGTCACTTTCTAACAATTGGTTGCCTTCATAGCTGGTACCACAATGTGAATTTATCTTGTTTAGTTATTAATACTTGTTTAACTAGGATGGTCAGTTTCTCCCAACCAGACTGTAAGTTATGTAAGGGGGTGCTATCTTGTGTACAGTTTTTACAAGGCATCCCCAGAGTTTAGAGCACTATCTGACAAGGTAGCATATACTAGGCACACATGAGTATTGTCTGGTTGAATAACAAGTAAATTTAAATGCAATAATGCATATGGATGTGTTTAACCCACGGAATGCTTAAATTTCTTGCCTATTTTTTTTTCTTTCTCTTAGGGATGTACTTGTTCTAGGATAAACTTCTCCTGGCCAATAAGAAATAATGGTAACAATAGTTAATGTTTATTGAGCTCTTAATAGATGAAGGATACTGTTCTAAGCACTTTTAATGAATCAAGTCATTTGCCAGAGCACTAAGATATGTACTATTATTATCCTAATTATTAAGGTGAGAGAAGTAAGGAACAGAGGAGTCAAGTGAGAAAGGAACAAAGCTAGTAAGTGGTGAAATTGAGGTTTAGACTCAGGGAGTTGGATTCAGCAACTATGATCACAGGATTAGCTTACTCAAGACCTTGTTAGCAAAGCACTAAGTCTTCCAACAGTCTGACAATCACCAACTCTCCCATCCTTTTCTCTTATCATTCATTTGCACATCCATTGAAGTAAGTGTCTACTGAGCACTTACCTCATTCTAGGTACTGACCTGGGTCCTGGACTAGAGAGCTGAATGACCTAGTCCCTTTCTTCAGGTATTTTGGGGAGAGGGAAAGGTAGGAATGAATAGAAATGTGAAAATCCCTACTTTACCAATACTTCTTGCACCATTGAACCCTTGATAAATTTGAGTGGAACTTACTTCATGACCTAAGATTTTTCTTTTACCACAAGGGAGGGTCTTCAATATTTATGAGATGTCTTTCAGATACCTGATTTCTCCAAACACAGCCCCTGCTTTCAGAGTGACCAGCACTTGAGCACCGTCAGGGCCTCCCAGGACTTGGACTTGTCCTTGTTTGATGATATACATTTCTTTGCCAATTTCTCCCTGTGTGACAAATATAAAGAGGAAACGGTGGTCACTGTAACCTTGACAATTATACTCCATATTTAGAAAAATAAACTCTTCTAGAGGAATAAATGTAAGTGAAGGAGGCAAGGAATATTAATGTACAAGTAATTATCTCAAAACTTGAGGTAGCTGCAGACATTGGTTAGAGATGTGACATGAAAGGAAATGATTAGGAAGGTGATATTTCTCAGCACGTGAGCACTGTGGGCCACCCTGGACCCCTGGGGGCATTTCAATTAGCACATTGCTCCAGGAAGGACATGGGTAGAGGAAGTAACTAATGGTAAGCAGGGTCAAGAATGCTACTATTGAGGACGGTGCTTGGCCTATCCAAAGAGCCCAGGCTGGTCATCCAAAGGTCAATTCTATCCCTTCACCTATGGCATTGAGGTCCGACTTTTTGGAAATTGGGGTACAGGAAAATTTTAAGCCATTATTTTCATTCCATATTGAGAGGACGTGGTAATGCAGCAGGTTGTTTTACTCAGTTTTTCCTTAACTTTGGGAACTCTTAGAGCCAGGGCAATGACCCTTGTTCAATCCCTGAGAATTAAATTCCTGGAGTGTTCACATAGCGACTGGTTACTGTTGTTTTTCTGTATGTGATACTGGTATGTCCTGAGGCCATGCAGCAGGACATGTCGGTCTGTTGGTATGATTTAATATAAACACAAAGATTTATGATGTGTACCGAGCACCTAGTTTGAAGTCTGGATCACACGTGGTTTGATTCAGTGAGCTGCATGACCAGCCCCATGGAAGACCCAAGACTCAGGCGGGCTTCCTAGTGTGGAGATATTTTGCTCATGTGTCTATGGTAGACGTGGCAGAAAATAATGTATCTATGTGACTCTCACAGAAATAGGACCTAGAAATCCTGCACTGATTTCTGTAGTCTTCCATGTCTCATTTTCTTGCCGTTGCAACACTATTGTTCATGTATTCTTTCAGCCATAAACATAGCTTTATGTTGAATTGTGCGAGTCCTTACAAGCAAATCACCAAACTAGTAGGTGATTGTGAGGCACCTGGAACACGTTTTCTCACTCCAATTTCCAATAAAGAATAAATATGTCTTACAAAAGATCTAAATGGTGTTTAGGTCAAGAAAGGTGGATAAACTCCAAATAGGCCAGTGTGTATAATATTAGGCAAACTAAATAGTGAGATCTGCTTGTCTGAATGAGTAGTGTCTTAATCATGCTCAGCTATAAAAAATAGCATGCATATGGTAAATTTACTCTCTTGGCTTAGGAAAGGACTAAGTTATTAGGATGAATCAAATATTCTCACCAACCATACTTTCAAACACTACAATACACTAAAATCAACTCAAGATTAAACAATATCGATTCCAGTTTATGCTCAGAAATGGCTGAAACGATGTCTCTTTTACTCCAGTGCTGAGCACAAGGCTTGACATATAGTAGATATTCATTTATGAATAAGAGAAGTGTAATTTAACTGTTCTCAGGGAAGTTTTAATGTCTTTTAATACATGTACCTAGGTTTATTTTCCTGAACATCGATTATTGTTGTGGTATAACTGTCAGGTTGAATTTAAAGTTAATCAGACTGTAGCCCTTAGTTAACAGCCAGGAAATTGAAATTCTTGTTTTATCTTCTCAATACCCTTACGAGGAAGGTGGACGAAGTATTCTTGCTTTCATTTTGCAGAAAGATAAACAGAGGCCCAGATCGGCTTAGCTGACCAGCCAAATTTCCATAACTCAGTATTTAGGAGCAAAAGGAAGCCTAAAACCCACATCTCCTCACTCAGCAACACCAGAAGTACCTTAAAGTTTTGCATTGTGCAAAGTACTAAGCATGTATTTATATTCAAAACGTTTGATGTAGAAATTGCAGTATCAATGAATCTGATTATAAGTATTTCTCTTCGCATAGTACTTTAAAATATCTAATATACAGTAGAACTTCCATAGTTGGACATCTCCTTACATTGACCATCTCCTTAAGTTGACCTAATTTTTAGAGACCGGACATGTACCTCATGTACACGTCAGCATAGTAGGCCTAGCTCCTTATCTTGACCACCTCCCTATATTGACCAGGTTGTTATAGCCCCTTGGCTGGTCAACTTCCAGAGGTTCTACTGTATCTATTGACATAGCTCTTCATTTTAATTCCTGTATTTGTTATGCTATTTTATAACTGCAAAGAAGTTTTCCACAGATATTAGCACATTTAACTCTTGCAAAAATTCCAGTGAAGTCAAATAAAAAAAGGTGTCATTACTCTTTTTTTAAAAATTGGTATTTGGCTTGGTATTTGTATCTCAGCAGCTAGGGCGCCAGTCATGTACACCGGGGGCTGGCAAGTTTGAACCTGACCCTGCCCTGCCAAACAACCATGACATCTACAAAAAAAAAAAAAAAAAAATAGCTGGATGTTGTGGCAGGTGCCTGTAGTTACAGCTACTTGGGAGGCTGAGGCAAGAGAATTGCTTAAGCCCAAGAATTAGAAGTTGCTGTGAGCTGTGACGCTATGGCACTCTACCAAGGGTGGCATAGACTCTGTCTCAAAAAAAATAAAAATAAAAATAAAAATTGGTAGTAGAGGCTTAAAAATTGAGCAAACTTCCAAGGCCGGCAGGTGATAGCATTAGAACAGACAGCATCTATGTTGCCCGCCTCTGGACAACACTTGTAGATGGACCACATCTAACAATGACTCCAGTAAGAAGACTGATCTTTTAAAATCCAATAAAGTAACTATGAATGATTTAAAAAATAAGGCAAAGTGTTGAGGAAGCAATGATTAGGATAGGGTTATATTTCTTATTCTTTGCATGAAGTAATTCTCAAGGAACTGGAATGATTGTTCAAAGGCAGTTATTACAGCTGACTGGAGGTAGAAGTTCGTAATGGGTACTTAAATATAGCTCAGCACTTTTAATTATTTTTTAACGATCATTTCAATAATTTTCCAAGGAGATCTGGCATAATCAACGAACCCAAACTTCCACTATTTCTTGCATATTTCTAGGCTAATTTAAGCCTTTCCTCCCAGTTTAATTAGCATTCAAATGAAGTAGACATTCCTCAGAGAGTAAGGGCTGACAGCATGTGTAAAATAAGACTGAACCAAGCTCTTGTGCTCGGTGTCTGGACTAATTTGGAGAAATTGTAGAAAAGCAAGTGCTTCATGCAGAGGGAGGTAACCCTTAGAGAGAGGGCACTTCACAATTTCAGGGTTCCTGCGCAGGAGGCCATTTCCAAGGCTAGTGGGGGCATCATGACACTCAGGTGCACCCCATGGGAAAACAGCAGTGCTATTCAGTGTGGCTTCTGGGTCAGCAGTGTCAGTGTCACTAAAAGCAGGTGTAGAGGTGCAAATTCTTGGTCCACTGAAAATTCTAACTGCAGAAATATGGATCAGAATCTCTGGGAGTGAGGTCTCAGAATGTGGGCTTTAATTAGAGTCCTAGGTGATTACTGCCATGGAGCATTCTGAGAAAATACCTAAATACCCTTTCAAGCAGTCCAAGCTTCTCCGCACCAGTTAGGAGCCATTCCGAGGATTAGGCATGTCAATGGACTCAGTCCCAAATCTCGTCATTTTTCAAGTATTAATATTTAGGTAACCTCAGATTGAACATAATTGTTTTTCTTCCCCTTTTAAAAAAGATTCTGTGAAAATAATAAGCAAAAACCAAGCTGAGTTCAGCTATTGAAAGTCTGGTCAAGAAATAGCCTTTTTTTTTTGTCTGACAATGGACAATATCTTCTATCATGTAAATCCTCTTTTAAAAAAAGACAAGGAAATGTGACTTGTCCTGTGGTGCCCCTCATTTCTGCGCTTGCCCCTACCTGTGCTTTCCTCGACTCATTTGTCTTCACAGCTCTGGTTTTGTTATTGAGTGGGGAAAGGGACATGAAGAAGATATTGGAAAGGAGAAGGCGCACATACTCTGCATTTCACTCTTTGGTGAGCAAACTCGCACTGCTTTGGGCCTGCTGCTAAACTTCATAAGGGTGAGCTCCCTGTTCAGTCCTGCTGCTATTGGCACAAATGGGAAAGGCCATTTTGGTGCGTTAAGTTCATGTCATTCCAATGCACTACTGCTCCAAAGGGGTCTTTAACGTGCACTGTGGCTTGCACTATTTCTTGTTTTAATAAAAATGATTTTGTATCACCAGTCTGTTTACTTTTAACTTGGACTCATTTGCATGGGATTGTACATTTTCTTTTTTTTTGGCCGGGGCTGGGTTTGAACCTACCACCTCCAAATATGGTACCTGGCACCCTACTCCTTTGAGCCACAGGCACCACCCTGGGATTACAAATTTTCACAATCTTGCCTCCTCTGCCCTCTCTGACAGCTCCTTCTCAGTTGCCCCTGTCTGAGGCTTCTTTACCGATCTCTTCCATAAAGGCGTTTTTTAAAGTTACAGCCACAGTCACCTTCTCATCCTTGAGCTTGGGATTCTTGAACTCCTGAAGTCAATGTCTATTATGTTTCGGTTCCTACCCATTTACTTCCAGTTCCATTCCCTCTCAGTGGACGGACTTGTGCCCGTGGCATCGCCCCCTGACGCCTTGACGTACCTCCTACTGCATCTGGCTCTGTGTTTGGCCACTGGGACTTGCTTCTGTTCCTTGGATATGCCAAGTTCTGTCTTGCCTCCTGGCTCCTGGCTCCTGGCTCTAAGTCTTCATAAAAAATGCTGTCTGTCCGCTTTCTTTTTTTTTTAAACTAAAGAACTATTTCTCTTTAGGTTTTACTAAGGTCATGCCTGACAACCCAATCACCTCCCCAGTCCTGAATCTAAACTAAGTGCCTTTGCCGCTGCGTACTCTTCAGGCCGCTTCTATTTTCCTTTTACATCCCTTAACACATTTTGGAGTTATGCCGTTATGTAATAGCACTTGTTTATTGCTTGTCTCCTCCACCAGGCCAGTTGTTCTCAATTTTGGCAACGTGTTAGAATCATATGGTAGCTTAAAAAAAATACTGATATGTGGGCTCCATCCAGACTAACTGAATCACTGCAGGTGGCGCCTGGACTTCCAGCGCAGGAGATTCTGACGCACTCCGTGAATTGAATACCATGCACCAAATGGTAAACCCCCGGGGGACGAGAACCACTTTTTGGCCAGTCCTCAGCACAGTTCCTAGTCCACAGTATTGAAAAACATTTATTGAATGTATTAAATAAATCACACTAACGTGGTCCTAACATTTGCCTTATTGCCGTTCTCTGTACTCCCTCTGCAGATGTGGTTCCTCTCTCTTTGCCTCAGTCGCGTTCTTTCTTTCCTCCATCTAGAACACCGGTTTCCTCTTTCCCTTGGTTCACTTCAATTCATTTTTGGAAGACACAGCTCGGACATCACCTACTCTAGGAAATGTTGCCAGTACCGGGAGGGGTAAGTGCCCCTACTTTACATCTGACAGCAGCTGGTGCTGACTTTGGTCATGCCACTTAACTTGTTATTTTGGAATGATAAAAATGCTTCTCATCCTCATTCATTCGAGAACTCACTGAGATCTTGATCATGTCCCATTTCTTTAAGCTGCTCATTTTCCTCTATTTTTAATTTTTAATAATGACTTCACCACTGATTTAGTCTCTCAAGATATAAAACCCAGGGTCATTACTCCTTCCCCCCCTTAAGTGAACAGAGATGTGCAAAAATATTGCCCAAGAGGATGCTCATTTTAGAGTTATTTGTGACAGCAAACATTTGAGAATTAGTTACAATACATTCATAGACTGAGATATCATGCTGCTTTAGAAAAACAGGCTATATAAAATTACTTAATAACATAGAAAATGTTCATATGATATGTTGTTACATGGCAAAATAAGTTCCAACACATATTTTTAGTATGATGCCAATTTTACAAAACACACTCAGTCCATCCATTTGTAGAAAAAGAGGCCAAAATATGTTAACAGTGGTTATTTCTGGGTGGTAGAATTTATATCGTTGTGTTTTTATGTGTTTTCCATTTTAAAAACAATGAACATGTATTACTTTTATAATCATACAAAGTACAATAACATTTAAAAAATGTGGCATCAATTATTTACTACTTGGCTGAGCAAAATGGAAGTAACTGATATTTTGTCAAAGACATAAAAAGGGCAGAATCACCTATCACTTGTGTAACTTTTTCCTCCACTTTAAATACTTGGAATTAATGAGGTGTGACAATTGATAATTTACATTTACACAAAGCAGCTTTCCAGACTACCCACACTTCTATAACGTAAGTAATGAAATCCATATTGTCTTGTTCCATTCTGAACTCCGAGAGCACATTATTGCTTTACAGAGCTGCAACCACAATTATGTCTGTACTACGCAATTCACCCTGGACAAATCTTGTTTAAACCATTCACTTGACCTGAAATCCTCAAGTGCATTTATTAGTTGTGCATTTGAGAAATACCATGCACTCACCTTTTTGCAGACAAAGTCACCAGGTAAATAGAGAGTGGATTTCAATCTTAGCAACATGTCATAAATCATCTGTGTGTCACATCCCTATACAAAGAGAAAAATAATCTTATAGACACAGTTGAAAGAGCTAGTGAAACTAAAATGCAACATAAAGAAACAGCAATAGATATTGTCTGCATTAGCATTAAAATATTAATTGCTAATGAGTATAAATTTGTTTTGACCCCCAAATTGAAAAAATAACTCTACAGTATAATAGCCAGAGCTTAGGCCTTGATTTGGGTGTGAATTCTGTCCCCACTATATGTTGCTGTGTTACCTCTTGTGTTCTTAGTTTCTTACCCCTCAAAATGGGTACTTCCGAGTAAAACAACCTGGCACTTACTAATAGCCATTAATGACTATGATAATTATTGATTATTAGTACATTAGGAACAGACAGAGATTAAAATCTGGGCTAAATATTTTTCTTTCTTACAGCACCTTTTATAACATTGCTAGATACCATTTAACTTTGTAAACTTGTATGTCTTTCTTTACTAATTCAACTTTCCTCTTCTTAAAGGCAGGGAAAATGTACACAGTAGATACAAAAGCAGTCTCTGCTGAGTGAATGAGTATCCACACCCAGTCTAATAGTGTAAGATTTAAATTTTATTTCTTCAAATATATGTCTCAGTTTGTATTTTTGTGTAAATAATTATAATTTATCTATATTATGGGCAAAAGAAAAATCGATAGATACTGCAAAAATCGCACTTTACATGGTGGTTTTGAATCTTTTGTATTCACCACATATTTCTATTTTTCCTGTCAGCGCTGTTAACATAGAGGAGCTTTCCTTTTGGGGTTGGTCCTGTCCACTCCTTAGGGAAGTTACAATTTTGCAGAGAACTCATCCTAACGTCAGTAGCAGAGAGAGGAAGAGCAGAAGCAAAGGGTCTGCCCCCAATTTGTGGACTGGATAAGCATTCCTATAGCAATCACTACTTTTCTGTAAAGGTTTCAGGAGCAGACACTTGACCTACATCCATATGAAATTTAGACCTCAGGGTTGCTTGACTGATAAGGAAAGTTAATAATTTATGATTGAAGTATCATCAAGTAGCCATTGGGTGAGAAGCATTGAGACGAATTTCGTGTTAGAATTTTAAAAATTCATTTGAGAAAGTATAGCTTCTGGTTCTTCAGAAGAAAAAAAAAATGCCAAGGCCAGAAGGAATATCTTCGTAATACAGTCCAACAAAAACCGATGGGAAGCTGCTTTGAGGAAGGCTTTGTATGATGCCCTTGGAAGAATTAAAGATGAACCAAAGTAAGTCTAGCCGGGATGATGTGAGTAAAGGGAAAAGCTGTAATTGATGGTAGAAGATAATCATGTCATAAAACGTCCCCCAATATCCATAAAACTTGTAAGAAGAGCGAAGTTACTTTTGTTTGGGATTGGGATGAGAGAGGGAAGCACCAGGGAAATGATCCTGTGAGTTACAAAATTTGAATTGCTTGAGAATGAGTATAATTCCTATTTGCGAAGACGCACCAAGGCCCTTTTAGGCAGAGAGAAATTTAGCTCTTTCTTTGTTATATATTTGCTTTCTACAAGGTAGGTAATTTTCCTTTATATTTATTTTAATCCTACCATGTCTTATATTTATTTTAATCCTACCATGTCTTTTACGTTATCGTATTTGCTAAAGCCAACCACAAATAGACATTCTTTTCTAAAAGGCACAGTTATTTTGTTTCAGTAGAAGTTTCCTGACTAAATGGCTCATGCACTGAATTTCATTAAATGCTGTCATCATTTCACAGTAATTTCACTTCAGAAATTGGTATTCAGATCATTTAAAACCCACTTAGCACAAAACAAAAGCAAACGTTGCATAAATCTTTGGATCTTCTCCACTGAGAAAAGTTTGTATCTTTGATGTTTTAAAGAAAATCCATTTGAAATATGCTTGGAAGTTCTTGAGCACGCACATGTCTGGAATACTACTGCGACAGAGGGACTCTCGATCACTCATATCTACGGAGAAGATGTGCATCATAAATTATTAGAAATATAAGACCTCAAAAAAACCCCACTTAAATTTACTTTCTTATGCACAATTCAGTTTTTTGACATTAAGTTTTACAATCTTAATTAATTTTTAAGTCAAAAATAAAATTCTCATTCCTTGAACAATTCCTACTGGAATGCACTTTGCAGAAAATCACCAACTATATTAAGTTGTAGTCATAGGAATTATTAATGATTTTAAATGTTTTCCTGTGGTAGTAATTTTGATTCTATACATACACACGCAGATGTGTGTCATAAATTTTTATGATTTTATGTTGCCTCAGTACCCATTTTGAATGTAGGTTTAACTTTCTCCTATTAGAAGGAAGGCTTAGTCACTCTTGTCATAGCTTCCCTTTCTCAGGCTATTCCCAGTTTCTCAGTGTCGTTGAATCTGTCTTATGCAACTGTGTCCTGGTGGTCACCTGTCTGTGGGACAGCTACATACTGGACTCACTCTGCTGACTCCCCTATCCCACATTGCACAGATGACCACGGTGACCACTCCGTAGAACTCAAGGCTGCTTGCTGTAAACCCACCAGTTAGAATTCCCCATGGGAAAGCTCGCTGGGTAGCACTCTGAATCCCAATAAAGCTCCCCACTTTTCTCTCTTTCCCCACACCACCCCCTACTCGCTGGTTAAACATAATTGTTCTCCCTTTCCTGTTGGAGCTGTGAAAACTGCTGACCTATTCTCTCAGGGTAAGTTAAACACTCTTCTGTGTTTTCACATGTTCTGTTGGGCTGCTCCCCCTGTGTCTTACCTGACCCCCTGACTTGAGTCTAACTGTTTTTTAGGTCAGGGCTCTTCTAGAGTGGTTATCTTGGAGGGATGGACTGGACACAAGTCAAACAAAAGCCAAAGGGTACAGACAAATTTCCTGTGAAGGGAACATTTCATCTTGGGTTGGGCATTAGGCAACCCAAGGATAGAGAAGTACTCCACGAAAAGCACTCTGTAAACAGCCACAGCCATCTTCTCTGGAGCCTGGTTGGGGCATGGCTAGTGTTCATGGCCACTCTCCATAGAAGGACCCCCAGGACCAAACTAGAGTAAATCATAACTATGGTTGCATAGATGGCCCCCTGTATCCATGGATTTTGCATCTGCAGATTCAACCAACTGTGGCTGAAAATATTCAGAAAAAAAAAAACCAATAAAAAATAACAGTGCCACACTAAAAATAATACAAATTGTAGTAAACAACTATTTATACATTTATAAATGTATTAGTTATTATAAATAATAAATTTAAAATACACAAGAGGATTTGTGTAGGTTCCATGCGAACACTATAGAACTTTCAATAAGAGACTTGAACTCCCATGGATTTTAGTATCCTCAGGAGATCATGGAACCAATCCCCGGTGGATACCAAGAGACTACTATATTATTTTCAATACTGTGGGCAGATAAAATATTGAATATTGATAGGTCAGACATCACAGAGTGGTTAAAATATATAGACTATGTGTATTTTTATAAATGTGATTAAACTCAACAAATAATATAGTCTGAACAAAAGTAAGGTATAGAATATATTCAATGTAATGACAACTACCAAAAAACTATGCAAAATACTGCCCATTGTTTATGTTTATATGGTTATAAAGTAAAATCATAAAAAGGATTGGAAGGATAGACTCAAGAACCATCCTCTGGTATGGGAGGAAGGAGAATGGATCTGGGGAGAAGAACTAATAAGATTTCAATTTTAATTTTCTTAGTTTTAAATTTTAATAAAAATAAAAAATTACTCCCTTTGTGGAGAAATGCATTTTTGCCTCTTTTATTCTTCAGGTATGCTCATTGGCAGAAAGCACTAGTAAAGGAAACTGTATCAATGGAAAATGGTAGGCCCACCTAGGAGATAAGCCCTCAAATGGATAAGCAATTCATTGTGTTCACCTCAGTTGGAGTAGAGCTTTCAGCGTATAGCTTGGATTTCATCCCAGAAAAACTTTACACTATTTTAAATATGACTTTCTATTAACATAGTTGGATAGAACGTGGACTAAATCATACAAACTGAACCTTGTATCCTGTAAATATTTAGAATTTAAGATTCATCTATTGGTGATTCTGTCCCCAAACTTGCTTCAAGGAAAGGTGCCCTGGCTTTGGGACAGCTTATGGTTTATAACTAAATATTTCTTATCTGGATTTAGGCCTAACGACATGAAGTTTACGTGATGAAGTTGTTTTACTTTATGATGTATTTGCGAACTATAATTTTTTCCCCCCAGAAAACAATTATTTTTTAGAGATACACTGTGCTCAATTATTCTGTGATTAAAAAGAATTACATCCTAAGGCTAGTTATTTTCTTGGTAACTCAGTTCTATTTTCTTTATAGGAGTCAGGAAATTTTCTGATTTGCAAGAAAGTCGAAGGATTGTTTCATAAATACCCCTTTTTCTATGAAATGAGAGTACTTACATAAGCATCAACATTAGTATTATATGAATACATAACACATTAAGTTTTACTGTCTTATCTGTAGAGGAATGGACACCATGTTTGCAAAGGACAGTTACTGATTCTTATCACATTAAAAGGAAATGCTGAGAACAGGACAGTCTCCTGGCAAGCCTAGAGATGTTTTGTGACTTAGGGGCAATCCCCCCGAAATCAGGGTTCGGAATGAGATAAGATCGGTCACTCACTAGTAAGCACGTGTTAAACATTGATGCTTAGTACTTCTTCATGGGGGTTGTGGGGAAAGAACCCGTGAGGAAAGAGCACGTGCCAATCCTTACGCATGCAGCCCTCATATGTAATGACCTTAATGCTCCACATCTGTTGTGCGTGTAATTGCCTTAACTCTCCACACCTGTTGTGTATAACCTTGATAACTAGCCATTGTGGAGAGGGCTCTGTGCTACCCTGCACTTAGGTTTAGCCTCCCTCAAGCTTGTACTTCTAATTTGTGACACGCCTGGTTCCTTCCTGTGGCCTTAAGGGTCACGACACTTATCTTCTCCTATTTAATTTTTCTAACCTTCCTGTGATAACCTGG